GTAGGTAGGTGATATGTAACTAACTACAACAATCGTGAATTGAGCTTCTTTAAAGGATATTTCGTAATAAGTAATATATGAATGACTCGCAAAATATAGTGTCATATTCAAAATTTGTGCCTTGCAGGGCACTGTATGCTACCTCCTCCGATGCTCAACAGTATTGGCAATCTGCTGCGTTTTATTGCACAGTCTTCACGCTGATTAAAATTCCATCCACTGAGAAACAGAATTTGAAGGAGTGACGTCATGTATGCCAACAAACAGCTCAGGAATAACGCTTGACCTTTCCCAATTTATCATATTTCACTATCCCCGCGCTCTCTCTCCCTCTGTTCCTCCTCGACGCGGTATTCTTCCTCATTTACAGACCGTCCAAATGCAAGATCATTTGTACAGCACGGACGACGTGTTGCAACCGGTTGTTGGACGTGGATTCCGGTGTCTGACATGTGATCTACCGTCCGGTCAGATCTACGGATATCCCGGATGGACATATCGACGTGAGTATTCATGCACACACACACACACGTCATGCAATGTGGGCCTCTTCACGGCAAAGATGCAGAGATTTCTACAGGAAGGGCACAGCACCGTCGAAAATTAGGCGACACTTCGATGTCAGCAGCCACTGAGTTCTGCTAACTAGCAGATTCTGTCTGCAGGTAGACGGTGGGACCAGATATATGTTCACACACACACACACACAGACAGCACCTTTTTAATTTGATCGATAATCAGAGTTTGTCTGCCAGATGTTGAGGAATCGAGCTAACATCGTAAAAATAGTACGCTGACTTATTAATCTGGCAGAGAGAAGCGCTGTAAAATCCTCCGCCTAGATTCATTGTTCCAGATATCAACCGGAGCCGCGGGCTAGCCAAATCCTGACACACAAGACAAGGGGTGCGCTGTGTGAAAACCACTGTCCGTTGGGGAGGGGGTTGTCCAGATCATCGGATCATACGCCCTTTGAACGACGTCAAACGTCCACGGTGCACATTACACTTCGAAGCCCAATGGAGACGGTGACTACGGCCACGACCAGGAAGGTGTGGGTGCCTGTGGTTTGTATTCCTCTTGTTGGTTGGTTTCGAATCAGGGGTTTAGCTAACACCCCTATGTGAACTGTCAGTGTTTCAGCGACCGGGATATAGTCCCAAATGTTCGCTTTTTATCTCCTCATTTTGGCGGGAAAACACCTCCACCACGAGAAGGCAGTTAGGAGGGCTTCCTGAGCAGAGATTGTTTGACACACTTGGTCATATGGGAGCATTATATAAGGTGCAAGGGTAGGCTGACCAACCGCAATCCACCCCCGACTATACTGAGGCTTTCGGACACTCCAACAAATCATAAACCTTTTCTTGCACAAATCACTTTTTGAGTGAGTATCACTCAGCTAGTTTGAAACACATCGGAACTAATCAAATACCTGTGAAATAGCTGTCTTTAATCTTGAAGAAAGGTAAACTTACTCTCAACGGATGTGTGATGTCTTAATTTGACCTTGCTGTACAGGTTAGAGTATCATTGTTCGGTGCCAAATAAAATGCATTAAATTTGTTAATTTCCTAAAAATTTCTTAATTCTGCTGGTTGTCAAAATTGTTGATATTTTACCGAGTATAATGCACAAATGATCAGCTTTTTGACGGGAAAGCACGTGATATGAACTATATACTATTCATGAAAATGCCTTACTGTACATGGTCCCCCTCTATTGCTCAGAATACTTCAAGTATAGCCATTGTGGTGCATTTCTACGGCTCCCCGATTCCAGTCTGGATCGATTGCTTGTACTGGTCACAGATCAATCGCACCTTGAACGCATTGAGATCGGAGTGTACACGGATCCGTTCAATCCTTTGACCGGAACACATGAGAGTATCATTTATCAACCGGTGAGTGTGGATGGATACCCCAAGCATCACGTAGCGGATGGTCTCTATTCATTCCAATTTCACTTTTGTATATCGTTTTGGGGCCCAATTTACCACAGGGGATGAAAATACCGGACCTCGTGAACCCGTTGTTCGCCTTGTTGGTATAGACCCATTCTTGATTGAAATAGATTTTCGGTTTACACCAAGATTTGTCTACATGCTACCACATCTCTGACTCCTTTTGTTTGTCTCCTACTTAACACTGTAGTTTCAATCATCACAATAACCTTGCTTGCAATACCCGGTAATTTGGATGGACAGCTCGTACACAATCAGTCTATTGACGAATCGGTACTATGATTCGATGTTTGTAGATGGATCAGATGCTAATAACCGCAAAAAACATGACCAAAACCCACTTCCTGGGATCAAGTAGATGAATAAAGTACCAAAAGTTTGCCGGACATGCATGCATAAAGAGCGACGATAATTGTGAAACCGGTTATGTGCTTCCAGGGAAATTTTATCCAGCCATTCACATACTACTTATTATTAAGCTTCATTTGTATGTTTTCTTACCACCATACATCATCGTCAGATTGTGTAGGGCAGCAGCGTATACACTGTTTGAACGAATGAATGAAAGCGCTTCACGTTCGATTGCATAACACATAAGTCGAGGCAGATGTTTTCGACAAATTCTGATTTGCTTCAGGTATGTATCGATGAATACCCGAGCTCATCCCTGTCATGAACAAAGCCCAGGTTGAAGTCAGTTGAACAGGGTAATCAACAAAGCGCGTGTTTTCAAACCCCAACATTATTATCTCTCATTCTCCATATCTAACTTAAAACACAAGAAGCTTTTGACCGATAGCTTTCCCTTTCTCGAAACACTTTACATTGATCTATTGTTCGATAAATAAATAAATGAATATGAAAAGGAAGGTGGGATTAACTGATCTCTTTGCAGTAGAGCTTCTCCTCAGTACTTCCGTCTCCGAATCAAATACTGGCTGATAAGGACACACTCTGAAACAAAAGCCCAACCCAAACTGGTCCACATGAACGTAGTTGCAGAAAAAGTTGTACAATGCATGACATCAAACAGACACGACTGGTCAACAGAGTACAGTAAATCAATCCCCATAGTGGACACGAGTCAACGCTGAATTAGACCTGTTCATCTGTCAGTGCGTGAGCTGAGCTACCTCACTTTGCACATCAGGATATTGTGTGTGTGTGTGTGTGTGTGTGTGTGTGTGTGTGTGTGTGTGTGTGTGTAGAAGTTTCCCGACCGGCTGAGTGGTTGAGCGTATTATGAGTCCTAGTGAAAACGGCAAACTATGTAATTATGTTGTATATAATTATTATTGAAAGTGATAATGATAATAAGAAATGGTTACTGAACTTCTCTGGGATCTGTGGGATGATCTATGAGATCCAACTGCTTTGTAAAACTGCCTGGAATTACATACTTACTATGAAGCAGTGTTTTACTTGACGAGAACCACCAGAAATACATATTTACTAAATCCATGGGGATTTTAACCCGGAAATAAAAAGATGGATTTGTCATTCATGATTCTCACCATTTGGGCTACCCGATGAAAGTGTCTGGATCTAACCAGACATTAATCAACTCACTCTCTTTCTCTCAGCAGGGTCCTACCATGTCTGAACTTGCAATCTACACCTACGGAGCAAGATTTGGTCTAATTGATACCATTTGGGAGGCTTGATTTATTCATAACGGTATGTTTATCACAAAGGATCATAGGTTCACTCACCAACGGAACGACTCTGAATCACTGTACAGCCCGGTTTAGACGTTTCGTCGTAGTTAAAAATCCTTAGTCACACACACACACACACGCACACTAGTGGATCCATAAAGTGAATTTGTTATGTCTTTGGTGGTAGACTGTGAAAATGCTCATAAGGAACTATATCCTGAACCCGTGTATAACTAATTAAATAAACAAACTGCTCAAAGCTAATAGTGCTTTTGTGTAATCCTTATTTACGGATACGATTCGAGTGAGTGGATCAAGCGTGAAGTCAGTCAGCTACTACACACAGTTCGTGTACGTACATGTGTGTGCCTGTATGTAGTGCTTATACGGTGCTTATTCTCTTCATCCTTATGAAGGCGCCACGGTGTGGTGATGAAAAAAGGGTGTAGAGACACAGTGCGTGAGGTCACCAAATAATCACTGGGACAGATCGTCACTGTCGATCAATACTTCCAAACTCGCACGTGACAAAAAGTGTATCCGAATGAGACAAACAGTCCCTCGGGTCTGGATCAAACCCTTTCTCCGGGTTGGCAATCACAAACTTGTTGGGGTGAGGTAAAAGTAATTGTGGAACAGATTACGGGTAGGACTCACTGATTCCTTAAAACATGAACTTTTTTCAGTATCACCGTATCACCACGGAAATCCCATCTCCGTTGCTTCACTCCTCCATGAACTTGATTCCTTCCGTTTTGATCTTGCGTTGTTTTACCAGTTCCAATCAAAGGATTTGGATGTCGCTCGTGTACCAAAAGTGAGCATTCTCCTGTTCGACTGCAACCCAGACACCGCCGCTTATCAGTATTTGTCATGGGACATGCTGACAAAAACGATAAATCGGTTTGTCTCCAGTGAGGTATCACGGGACGGATACAGGTCAGTGTCCACATGAACCATAATTAATAATTAAAGATTTCTTCGACTGGTTTGATGCACGGTTCGAATTTCATTTGCTTTTGTTTAGCAATCCACCGTATCCTTTCAGTACGGTTTGAGTTAATGTGATCATACAAAGCGTGAAGGAATCGTGTCTCGGAATCATCATCGCTATCATCATCATCATCATAATCATCGGCGATAAAGCAAACCTCGATGATCGCTGTCAAACCAAGAACGTGAAACAAATATGCGAATCAACGAAGCAATGAGCCTGTACTTTGACCGATGTGAATTTTAGGCCAATAGGAGGCAGTTCAACACTTATCGCAGCTCCCGAGATCCCCGCGTGGAAGGCACGGAGTTTCCTTCCAGCATGTGATGAACAGAAGGGCAATCGTTTTTAGCATGTTCAATTTTACAAAATGTAGCCTTCAACCGGGAAACATGGAATGAATTCCTGTTCACTCACCAAACTCTAATTCAGTTTATCAAAAAAGGAGAGATGGGGCCAGACTATCTAAGTCGATGAGTGATTGAATTTCACCATGACTGTCCGTAATAGTAGTGGTACATATCTACCGTTGTTACGAATTTCTTTCGTCTGGCATCTGTGACCAGTGAGGGATGGGTTAAAAGACAAAATCTGATTTTTCGATCTCATTTTTCACTGACTTTTCTTTCCCGTTTCTTCGATTTGTATTCTGTAAAATTACAAAATGTGGAATGAGAGAACTTGATTCCGGCATCTGGGAACACCGTTCGCTAAATGGCTTTCGAAACGCACTCACGGACTGACATAACACGTAACACATACCACAAATAATATGAGTATTAGGTGAATGCAATGGAGACCTTTGTGATGAGCAACACAAACAGCCATGGACAGCTCCTTTTGTCCTGTTTCGGACTTGTTAGCAGTGTGTGTACTTTTTGTGTGTCCCTGTTTCCGGACTCTAACCGAGAACCTTTGAATTGGAAAGCGAAATTCACAGCTACTCCTTGTGCAAATGATCTGATCAATTTCAAACAGTGTATGTTTCGATTAGCTCATTCAATTTTCCACAGGCACAAGGCTCTGATGATGATGTTGATGATTATATATATATATATATATATATATATGTGTGTGTGTGTGTGTGTGTGTGTGTGTGTGTGTGTGTGTGTGTAATCACAGAACTTTGTGATTGAACAATGGATTGACCAAAGCGGTAATTATTATCATTATCGTTACTCACAAGTTGTTCTTCAGTCGTACAGGAGTTTTTCCGAGCCATCGATGATCAAGCCAATTGTGGTTAATGATTCTTGTGGGAAGCTATTATCACATCCCGTATGAGGTTTGTTACTTTCACAAAAGTAAAACACCCACCGGCGCAATGAGGCTTCCATCTGAGTTCAGCTTCCGGTATGTTTCTTTGCTTGCTTA